CAAACAAACTCTGCATATGCTTCTTAGTTTTCGGTTGCGACTACTTGCTGACCAGCCAAGACTGACTTATGTTGCAACCACCAGAATATTGCGCTGTTTTTCTAATTCCATGCTTCAATTAATGTCAAAATTAAATTTAACAAACTCTAGAAACTTGCCCTTAAAAATTCATTTGAACTTAAAACGCATGACAGCTCAATTGACAATCCAAGGATAGGAAAACAATAATCTCGCCCACTCAATTAACTATTTCTCGTTTCACTTTGCTTTTTACAATCGAATCAAATTGCAAAGGCCAAAACGAAGGTCATATCGGCTACTGCGCCTAACTGTAGGCAACAGAGATTTTAATTAAATTCTACGCTATGCCAAATTTGCTTGAAAGTATGAGTGACTAGTTTTGCGACTGTGTCACTCCTCTTTTGGGAATTCGCTTAAAAAAAGTTTAAATCGGAGAAATTGAATACAAAATGAGATCGGATGACGAACCAAACTAGCCAAGCAACAATTGTATCAGAATCAATCATAGCCACCAAAAGTGAAGCTGCAAGAGCCAGTATATTCATTTGCCACTTCAAGTTTCTCATTGCCAACAAAGCTGTGAGCAAAACAAAAAAAAAGAAAAAGAAAAAACACAACACAGAAAAATCGCAATTTTATTACACAACCAAATTTCCAGCTGCATCCAATGCCATTCAGCAATCAGCAGCAGCAACCACCAACAGCCAACAGCTATTGGCAACAATCGACATCATTTGCCTGTGCCAACATCATTAGTTATATAACCATTTTGCGTGAAAGGAAGACGTCGAAAACAAGAGTAAATGGAAAGTGCGGAATAAGGAAGAGCGAGCAGAAAGCTTTCTTGCCGATACGGAATCTGATATTTAGCGCCGCAGCAATGGCGGCGAGCTTGATTGAATTAACCCAATAGCAAATTGAATGAAATTGAGCACAANAAAAAAAAAAAAAAAAAAAAAAAAAAAAAAAAAAAAAAAAAAAAAAAAAAAAAAAAAAAAATATTGAGATATTTACAAAGGAAAGTATGTAACTCAATTCATTTGCTACGCTTCAACAGCAAGCATCATTGCTTTCGATGGCGGCAGTGGCAGCAACAACAGTAAATAGCAAAATTAACGCTTCCCACTCACTCGCAAACAGATACAGCTGCTTTTGAAATCGACACTGCTAGTCACACTGACAATCAATCTTCAAGTTCTTCTATCACACGTTCGCATCATCTATGTATGTAAGTAGTGCAGTTTGTTTTGCGTTTCAGCATTGTTGTTGCTGTCGACGTAAGTACATATTTAGTTGTTGCATGCGTATTGCCTCAGCTCAGCCATCGTCACCAATGCTCAGCCGTTTATTGGCAGTGTTGAGCCGATTTGACGTGGATGAAATTGTGATAAGCTTTGCCAGATGATAACGACAACATCGCTACTAAGCTGCAATAACAACAACTAGTGCAAAGATTAAGTATCTAGCAGACTAAGCACGGTACAAGTAGTAGCTACGCTGTGAGAATAGCTTCAGCTGACTAAAACGTAAACACGCCAGCGCGAAATCACTTGGCTGCTACATCGTTGCTGTTGTTGCTACTCAAAGTCACGATTAGCATGTTTCAACGAAATTTGCATTCAAGTTGTGTGCGATGCGTTAGTGCACATAAACAAAGCATCCATTTAACGCAGCGTCACTAACGCTTCAGCGGACCAATTTGAGACCGTTTTACTGGTACTGAAAATGAGGAGGTAAGAAAAACGATTTCAAAATTTGCATTTTTTGCTTACTTTCGCGAATAATTCGGGTATTCGTATATTTGATTATAAAATTCGAGAAAAAAAGCTAGACATCTAGCTGCAATTAGCCATCGACATTGAGGGCATACCAAGACCCGCGATGAATTACACTAGATTTTTGGAAATACTTTTGACTTACTCTTACTCTTCTTTTCACCATACACAACCGCAATTTGCACAGTAAGTATAGAGTCACAGCAACGAAGACAATTAATTGCAATTTTTGGATTGCTCACAGGCATGATGACAGGCGAAAATACAAAGAAACGTCGCACAGTGTTGCCAAATTGGAATTTACTAGTACAGAGCCATAATTTTTCAATCGTTTTGATAATTTTGAAAGTTTTTCAGATTTAGAAGTGGTTTGTAGAGCCATATTTTTGAACTTTTTTTAGAGCAAAATGCAGAGGTTTTAGAAATTGTGAAAAAAAAACAAAAAAAAACTTGCACTTTATTGCATTAAAATTTAATGAGCTGTAAAATTGCATATTTAAAATTTTTTGAAAAATTAAAAAAATATATATTTTGGTAAATTTTTTTGTTTAACATTTAACTTTGTTTTGCAATTTTTTTTTTCGTTTTCAAGGTACACCTGGCTCGACAAATCTCTTAAAATCAAACCGATTAAAAAATCAACGCTCTGGAAGCTGCAGACCTATTACACCCTAAAATACACTTGTTGGAGGCAGAGCCTACTCTCGGCCAAACGATTTAGAGACTAGACAATTTAGGCAGGAAAAAATGAATAAAGTGAACAACTTTCACGAACAGAGTCAATGTGCCTTCCTTTTGTTGATAAATAGTGGCCGATTTTCCTAAACGGATTTCTAAACAAAATTAATTAATCATTAAAATGTATGGAAAACTTTTGATTTGAACATATTTGTTGGATTTGCAATTTATTACTTAACTTAACTTTCCGAAAGTTCATAATGAGGCAAATTAATTTTTTACGCTCATTTAAACTTTTCTGCAACAAAAAAAACTAATTTTTAATTTAGCCCCATACTTGCTACAGTTTAAAAAGTGCGTACATACATTTTTTTTTACCCCATTCCATGCATCATTTTTTGTAACAGAGTAACTCATTTGGCTTGACAAATAAAAATTCATTCCGATGTAACTTGCAAATATGTATGTATGTATGTATGTATGTACTTACATATGTATGGGTATTCATTCATTCATTTATGTTTTTGCATTTGCACAGAGCTACGCCTAAGTAGCGGCTTGCTTGAGAGAGCTGTTGCTGCAACTGCAGCTGAAAGTTTGATATGGGAAAAACTAATTCACTGAACGGGAATGCGTTAATTATACTTCCGTTGGCATATTGGTGCAAGTTTATTTGAATGGGGAAAACACACACACACACAAACACCGCGCGCGCACCAGCAAATTCAATACATATATATATATAATACACTGCACACATTTCATTTTGCAGCAGAGGAGAATTGCATATGTATGCTGTCACTTGAAATGAAATTCCCAAGCGCACTTGTGTGCCAATGACTTTTCCGCTTCCCACTCTCCCCTCCCCCCCTTCGCCCGCACCCAGCAGCAGTTGGCATTAATTTCATGGAAAACTATATAGAAATATTTGCCTTCAATTGAACAATTTTCATCAGAATCGCGCGAATCATCAAAGTGGTGGTGTCCAATAGCTTTTGAAGTGATATGGAAATAAGGAAGGAATTCGATAGCAGCATGCAATCATATGTATGTATGTATGTACGAGTAAAGTATTCACATTTCATACGTAGTATGTATGTACATAGCCCATTGCCAATAATCGTGGGAGTGTTTTGGGAAATTTTAATTATTGCAAGTCGACTCTCTCTGAAATTGAAACAGAAATTCGGGAAGCAACTCACTTACGTTCGCAACTCGCTAACATTTCAATTGCGCGATATTTGCGGAAAATTGAAATTCAAGATATTTGAAGATAATTTCAAAATTGTTTATTTACTAATGGAACCAGTGCAGTAAAGCTTCGGTGAAACTGTTTCACTTATATTTTGACTCACCAAAAATTTCAATCTATTCAAAATGGAAAATGGCACAAGGCTTACCTGAAAGAAAGAGAGGAGTATGTATAAGTATTAAACTGAAATAAAAAATTAAAAGCAAATAAATATTCACATTATACAAATGTATATATTTTAAAGTTTAATGAGTACATATTGCGCCTAAATTAGGGCTGGGAGTTTTATCCAGATTTTTTGAATTTCCGGAAAATCCCAGGATAGTCCCAGCCTTGCCAAGAGGATCTGTGCTGAAGGATATCTTTGAAAAAAAGTAAAAAAGTTTTAAAGTACCAGAAGCTCATGAAATTGGATATGTAAACAGGTGTGTAACGCCTGCCAAAGAACATTTATTTCATTTAATTTTAATCATTTTATTCATTTTAACGAGACGAGTACAAGAATATTTCATAGCCACTTCGGGAGTAGCTCAAGACTATGTCAGTAATATTTCAAGACTAGTTTCGAACTAATCTGAAGTGACCCCAAACTAGCACCAAAAATGTCCAGAAGTAGTCCTTAATCGTTTTGATAAGGTCGAGAACTTGCACCGAAAGTATCTCGAACAAGTCTTCAAATGGTCCCAAAATGGTCCCAAAATGGTCCCTTACTAGTCCCAAATTAGTTTCTAAATGTTCTTGAAATAGTCCTTTTTTCACATAAATTTCAAATGAAAATAAACCTTTTTTTTTTTGCTTAGAGTACTCTCGTTAAACTGGCTAATGGTAAGTCGAGCAGTGAAAATGCGAGAGATCTCTTGTGTTAACCGCCTCCCGCATGCTTATTGTAAGGGAAGGTCGGTAGAAACCGCCCGAAAAACAATTGTGAGGTGGATAGAAGATGCCTTCACTCACATAGATTTTGCCGTAGGAGCGTTTCTCGATTATGAGAGGGCATTTAATAATATCCTGCCAAAGGCAGTAGTTAAGCCGTTGGCTAAGCTTTAGGTTGTTGTCAGTCTCATTCGGCTCATCCAAAATTTGCTGTGTAACATAACTGGCTGGCTATATGGGGCCGCGTTCGCCTGCATCGCACAGCTAATAGGAAAATATCCTCTCACCCTTGCTCTGGGTAGTCATGGTGCAGGACGTTTTAAAGGAGCTGGAGAAACACGGCTGTTGGGTAATTGCCCACGCAGACGATGAACTAAGTAACCCAACGGTATTTTAACGTTATGCTAAACGTAGTGCTTGTCGACGTTGCAGGCAAAAGTGGCTGCTATGAAGGAGGTGGTGGATTCACTGCTTCGGAGTGCTATGCCAGTCAAGGAGGTGAGAATTTATTTTGATAGCAAAGCGGCTGTCAGGATCTTAAGTACGTTGGATGTGCGCTCTAATTTGGGTATATAAAGTCTTCTCTCTCTCTTTCGGTTGCGTCGGAACACTTCTGTATTAGGCTTACTTGGGTTCCGGGTCACAGCGACATTGTGAGGTACTGCGTGGCTGACAAATTTGGCCAGGAAAGGCGCTCTTGAAACGTTATCGTCGGACAAGGAGGAGGCTGGGCATGCTATTGATCACTTGTGGTACACTCTTGGATAAGTGGCTCATAAGTGTCAGCTCAGCGAGCGCGGGGCGAAAACCAGGACATGCGCAATTTCAAGGTCCTTCTGGCCGAGGGTGGACATTGGCCGGTCGAGGGCACTCCTTACACTCACAAAGCCACAGCTCTCACTGCTGGTGGCAGTTTTAACGGATCACTATCCAATCGGTATTCACGAATTAGGGCTGATAATATTTCCGAGGCCTTTATGTTATAGTTGCAAGGAAGATCTCGAGGTGGAAGCACCTCAACACTACCTTCTTATGTGCCCAGCGTTTGCGAAGCTAAGGTTGAAGTACATTGGCTCTCACATCATTACTATCCCCGAGGAGCTCTGAGGCATTGCGATTAGCCGAATTCGTAAATACATAATCGGATTGGGGCGTTTTATCGATTATGTATAGGATGCCGTTTCAGAATGGGGTATCACAAAGGACTATCTCCTAATTGCCTAAGTGAGCTCAGTAACATTCACGTGCGGTACGCCTTTGCCATCTCTCAAAGGCGAAAAATTATATGCACGCAAAACTTTCAAGCATTTATATACATATTCACCAGAGTCCCTCGCTAATTACCCGAGCTTAACAAAAACAATCGTAGAGACAGCTAAATACATGCAACTACCGCGATGAAATGCCAACCCAATCCACACAAAAAGTGACACTATAGGCAGCAGAAATGCCAGGAATAACAGCCATACCAGCAAGAATACATACATACGTACAAGTAAAGAAAATGTCGCTTATAATGGCTTCGGTAATAAGGATGTTTTTCCGTAAATGAGTTTGTTATAATGACGTTGACAACGCGAAATGAATGAATGAAGAAGTCAGCCGCTGTCCACGAGGAGAGCAGTGTGGACAAGCCACGAAGCGCAATCAGATGATGACGACCCTTTGCTGACGCTTTTAACGCGGTTGCGGATGACAACCAGTATGCAGGCCGTGGGGGGATGATGTCAGTGTTGCAACGCACGATGCTGCACTCATTAGCAAAGATGACAACAAGGCGGCGATGACGGTGGCTGGCATGCAGTGGGAGCAGGTGACCCAACTACATAGACAGCGTGGCAGCTGCGGCAAGAAAATCGATGAGCCGGCAGCTATTGAGGACGCTGACTGTCAGACTGTCAATGTAAAAGCGCGCGCGAGCCACTATTGCGGCTATAAATTGTGTGTGAAATAAGGATAATGTGCAGAGAATAAATGCGAAAAGTCACTAACAAAAATGGATGCTTGTCTTAAAAACAAAAACTTAAAAAAAATTACATCACAAAACGGAAGTGAAATTTGCAAAAAGCGTTGCAGGAAATTACTCTGCAAAGGCGAGAGTGTGAACACAAATTAAAAGTGACAAATTATGAAAGTCGAAGGATGCCAGAGAGCCAATGACATTACAGAAGAAAAAGCAAAAGCAAAATGCAAGAGCAATAACAATAACAATGCAATTTTTTGCGAAGGTGCGCACTGCTGACACAATTATGGCGGCGATCATTTAATATTCCTGCAACGAATTGCAGTACGTATACATACATACATACATACATATAGTAGATATATTTATATAGGTATGTACATGCGCATTGACATGTTGTTATGTAAATAAAATGTCAAAAAGCGTAATTAAAGTTAATAAGTTCAGAACTCGTTGGCAGTGGGCAGCTGATTGTGTTTGAATCGCTTGGCATCTTGCAGCGCAATGCACAGAGGCAGTTGAAAGTGCAGTGAACTAGTAAATAATAATGAAAAAAAAAACGTCCACATCGCTGATGCCACTTATAAAACCAATGTACTTGAGTTGGCGAAATGAAGAAAAGAAAAGAAAAAAAACGAGAATGAAATTTCAAAACGAGTGCAAANGAGGGGAGGTGAGCAAAGTGGTTTAGTGCAGAGTGAGTTCAGGGCCAATTGCAGATTGTATTGCTCGAATATTTTCTAAGAGCTTGATTGCAGTGGTCTGCATTTACATATGTAAATCAGTGACTTCGACATTTTTTTGGGAAGAAATAAATGAGCTTTGATAGACTCATAAAAACTTACAATCTACAATTGTACTATAGTACAGATGCATATAACTTTAGTACTTGCATATGTATACATGTGCATGTGCGAGCATAGAAGAATGCATTACTTAATTAAATTCGGAAATTTGGTAATCATAATAGTAATAATAATGGTGATGCTAATGCTAATGGTATTGGTAATGGTCATGGTAATGGTAATGACAAGATTAATGGTAACGGTAATCTTAAAGACAATGGTAATCTCAACGGTAATGGTAATTATAATGGTAATGGTTATGGTAATGGTAATGGTTAATGGCAGTGGTATTCGTAATGGTCATGGTAATGGTAATGACAATATTAATGGTAATGGTAATCTTAAAGACAATGGTAATCCCAATGGTAATGGTAATTATAATGATAACGATTTTATTAAAGGTATTGGTATTGATCATGGTCATGGTAGAGGTAATGACAATGGTAAAGTTATCGGTAATGGTAATGGTCAAGGTAATGGTAATAGTAATGGTCATGGTCATGGTAATGTTAGGGTCATTGGCAATAGTAATGGCAATGGTAACGGTAAGAGCTATACTAGTCATAACGAAAATTTCGATTATCTCCACTCTTGCATATGCATTAGCATTTAGGGCTTAAAAAAAACATATGTATTTGTAAAAATAGTGCTTCCCATCTTCTTTTAAAAACATTTTAAAATTGAATTTTTTTTTTCGTAGGTCTGTTAAATTTGAGCCTTCCTATATATTCTCAGATTATTGTATGGCATTTATTGTACTACATATGTGCAGTTGCGAAAGTATAAACAGGGAAGAGACATTTTATCACACTTTGGCTATTTCGCTTTCGTTCATGTCATATTTATTTATTTATTTTTATGAAAGTGTAGCTCGTTATCTAACAAAAAGCATGTAAATCAAAACCCATAAAATCAATTTTTACATTTCTAAGAAACATTCTGAGTATGCAATTTCTTACCCAATTCAATTTTAATATAACAAAGTGCAAATTTTAGGTAACTAAAATTTACCGCTGATTTTTGTAAATTTTTTTGAGGAAGATGTTCATGTTCTCCATACAAAAAACAATAGTTCGTGTACAAAAAATTGCCCAACATCAACAGTAGGTCTTAGGTGCCTCAAACTTACACTTTATTACACTAAAATTTTATAGGCTGCAAAACTTCGTACTCAAAAAAATTCAAAAAATCTTCTTTATCAGAAGTTTCATATTTCGATGAAGATTTGTTAAAATTCTTAGAATTTTTATGAATGTTCTACAAAGTTAGAATTTGTGATTTACATGATTTTTTGTAGGTAGTAAGATATATTTTTATAAAAAAAAAAAAAAATATAGATAAAATTTTAATAAACAAAAATAGCCAACACTTTCTGAACTGTCTTTTCCCTATTTACATACAGAGGAATTAAAAAAAAATTTACATATGCGAATATAGTTCATCATACGCTCTGTCAAACCTGTGTCAAAAGCAAGGCAAATCAGCAAATTTCTACATCAAATCTACATACGTGTTTCTCGTTGAAGTATAAAAAAATGTTATTGAAAGAAAGCATTTTGAGCAATGAGAAACAACGGTTCTTTGTATCTGGCAGGGGACTTCCATCCCAATTCGTCTGGCTTCAAACATATGGCCTCCTGAGGATTCACGCTATGATTGTTAATAAAATTTTGCCAATCGGTCCGTCTGTCACTCACTCTCCATCTTCCTAAAGTCTGGCGGGTTTTTTCGGATCCGGGGGAATATCAGCTCTGAAATACCAAAGTGTCAGTCTGATTAAAATAGTGCCTTTTAATTTGTTTATTGACACATCACAACGGACTCATCATGAAAGTCCTAGCCTGATTTTACGATGGTGTAACCAAAACCGTTGTCAACTCTTTGACTATTTCACCTGTTTATAAAATTTTTCAAACTGTTTTCATTCGAAAAAACGAACAACTCAAGAATTAAATATTTTCATTGAGTTGTGTTAAATAATAGATTTTAATGAATTCGCACATGTTGCATTGCAAACCAAAAAGATATAGATACATATATCAAATATCTATTTACTGTTGTTCATTTTAAATTCCTTTAAAATTCTACCAATGAAAAATTAATGAAACAGCGAAATAATTTTAAAATTCCAGTTTTGTAGGAACTTTTTACAGTTGAAAATGCAGCAGCTGCTGTTTAAATGAGTGCCTGGAGATATTATTAGCCAACAAGCACGGTCGGAAAAATTTTGTTGAAAAAAACAGATGCAACAGCTCGATTGAAATTAAATTTCCACATTTTTCTGTGTAGCCTAAAGCAATCCAGTTAATTGCAAAATATTTTTTTTTGTTCTTCGGTAAAACAATTTGTTTGGTATTTTTATTTAATTATTTAACCGAAGCAGATTATTGTTAAAAATGAAATGCGGTGAAAGTTGCAAAAGGCGACTGAGGATAATTGGAAATGGAAATGGAGTGAAAAAGCAGTGCAATAAAAATGAGGACCCCAAAAGGAATGAAGCTGCATTTTTATAAAATTGTATTGACTACCAAAGTTAGACAAAAAAGTGTGTGCCGACCATGTGCATAAAACATGCCTTTATCCAATGGCTTGACGTTCTATACAAATAAAGCAGCTTTAAGACGGTGTAAATAGTATTTTAATTTGGTGTAGACTGCAACTTGCCTCTAGGGAATCCTATTCCCGTTAACAAATTAGTTGTGAAAATAATCAAAAAAAGTGAAATTTAAATACATCATATTGAATTATGCGTACGCCCTCTCGAAAAAAGGTCCACAAATACTCTGGCAATTTTTTTATCTTGACGGTGTCGTTCATTTTTCTCAATATACAAAATTTGTCGAGCATGCCTTGTATGGTATAAAATTGAGTGACACCGTCTACAAAAAAAAAAAAATGCTATGAAACCCATTTCCTAAACATTTTAAATAGAAAGTGTGAAATTTTGATTTTTTATAAAAAAACAATATTCAAACTAATTGGAAAAAATAACTGGTTAAAACTTACCAATAAAGGGTGATCTTATCAATACGTCGTGCACCGATAAATCAGTATCAAAAGACAAGGGATTTTGAAAAATTTTTATTTTGGAATGAATTTTGTTCATCACTTGTCAAGTTTATTTCCACCCCAAATTTGATGTACGATGGCGGGAATACGTTTCGAAATGCATCATTTTTTACTCTGTTGTAAGTCAGTTAACACCAAAAAGAATTTATTAAGCTTAATCACTAAAATATTTAACATTAGGGTTGCCACTTATTTAAAAAAAATGCTTTCAATGTGTAACTTTAGTAAAATATTACCACATGGGTGAACCGTACTCAAAAGCATATTTTTTCAAGTAATTTTGAAAGAGAGTTGCCGATCTAAAAAAAAATTAAAAAATCCATACAGATATGCAAGTACGTTATAATACTTATATAATAGTAAAAATGTTATTTTAAACTTTAATTTAGAAAATTTTTCATATGGAAGTGCCACTTTTCAAAAAACATAGTTGAACAAATTATTTTATTATTTTCTTAGCAAATACCCAGCGGGCTGCACTGCGCTTCAAAAGAGTTTTTGTGCCGTTTGATGCTCGTAATATTTCATTCATTTTATCAATTAAGCACAATTTTTCAAACTGGTGGCAACCCTCCTCAAAAATATTTTCGGCAGTAAACTTTCCTAAACCCCTTCAGTTTAATACCCATATTTCAGTATTCAATTTACCTTATTAATTAAATTGAATTAAAATTTTCAAGCAGATGGCAACATTCAACAAAACTTGTGTCAGCTGTAAGCCTTCTCATGCCTCTTTCTTTTGGCAGCCATATTGCAATGTTTACTTTATCTTATCAATTTACTTAAGCTGAAATTTTCAAACAGTTGGCAACTCTCTAATTTATTTTTCGTTCCATATTTTAAGTTCGACCTCTAGCAATGCATCGGTGAAAACTGCACTCAATTCTATGCACTCGTTTTCGAGTGATGCGCGTACAAACGCACAGACATACAGACAGACATAAATTCTAAAAAGTGTTGATTTGGCTGCTGTTGCTTTAATAAAGACCCCCCTACTAATTTGAAGTAGGGTTGCCATCTTTAAAAAACCATAAATTATATCAAACAAAATATGTTTAAGAACAATTTTGCCCGAAAAACTTTTAAATAGATTAAAAAAATAATTATTGGCTCAAGTTTTAGAAAAATCACACAAATGTACTTTCTGTAGCTTTCACAGCCAATATTTGCGACAATTTGTTAGAAATAAATAACAACGGCATTTGTTAAAAAAATTGAATCTCCCACACATTATTATGCAACATTTCACAAATTGATAGAGCAAGGCAGATGAATACAAACAATAGCTGTCAAAAGCAAGCAATTTGTTAAAATAAGCAATAAATATATTGCACTACGTTTTATAAACAATGTCAGTAATTCTTTTTTAAAAAAGAGTCGCCGAAAAAACTAGCAGACAACTGGCAACAGTGACTGACAACACAATATGGCCGACACACAACAATGGAATGACATGCTTCAGCAATTAGCGGGCCTAGCATAAAAAGATTAACATGCAGCCTAAAAGTAGGCAGCAAATAGCGCAACGATTTCACAAACAAAAGCAAAAACGCAGGCGACTAATTTATTATGCAAATAATAATTGCATTTTAAAATTTATGCGCAGCAACGCAACGAAATGCCAGCACACGAATACGAAGCGAAGTTTTTAGCTATGTGTAATATAAAGTATAAGCGCCTAAAAAGCTGTTCGAATTTAGTATAAAGCACTGCGTGTGACTGTGACTGCTTAAACAATACGCGAGTGTGCTGCTATTTTTTTTCTCGACTGTTGGATAATTACAAATGATTAATTAAAATTTAATTTCAACCATTTTGTATGCATAGAACTGCGGACAAATGATCGTTAAAGCGCTTAAAAGTATACCAAAATAAATTTCCGTGACTGAGGGTTTTTTTTTTGCAAAAATAATAACTGAAATTGCATCTAATGCAAATGCGCGTCTATCAAACAAACTTCACTGGCGCGACAGCGAGGGCGAGGGCGTGGCTTGTGCTCACACGCCGCAGCGTAGCGGAGCGCCTAATTGCATGCTTTATTTACAACGTTTATTTGTTTATTTATTATTTTTGTGCGGTAAACTTTGTTATTTCACTGTTTGTAATTGAAATATGAAACAAAGTAATATTTACAAATGTGGATGCATGCCACAAAAATAAATTATATTCATTAATTTTCCGCACTAAAAACTGATTGTTTGCTGGCTGTTGCTGTTAGAAGATACATATGTTTTCATTTTCATGGTGCGCATGTCCGTCTGGCTGCGTGCATTTTACTACATTTGCTTGAAACAAAAACCTATTACAATTTACTATTTTAATGCGCTGTTTTTTGTTTATGCAGTGGTTTTTTGGGTTTGTTGAAATCTATTTTACATACATTTTTGACACTTTCGCTCAGCTTAATTTCAATTTGTTGCTTTTTTTGTTTAAATGCAATACTCACTTATCAACCAACATACATTTCAGTTTCTGA